TTGTTCCATTCTGCAATTGTAAGTTCAGTTTATATGTTCTTCTCCTTTAATTGAAATTGTAAATCCTTCTAGGGTCTATTTATTTAAAAAAAAAATCTTACCTTATGTTTTAAAAAAAGAAAAGAAAAGCATTTTCCCATGGGAAGAATTATTTATAGTTAATTCCAAAATCTTATTTCAAATTTATTTTAATTCTTAGTTCATTTGTAACTTTCTAATATCAAAGTTTTAATCACCCTTTTGCTATTTATTCTAAAATATTTTAAAGTTCTTAAACTTGTAGTTAAAACTTCTTTTGCAGACTATTGAAGGAAAACCCATCCAGTACAATCAAATATGCCAATCCAAGTTTCTAATAGCTGAAAGGAAGTTAACAACTAAATTCCAACAATAATTAGAGAAGGAAGCATGCAAATGTAAGGTCTTTTCAAAGGAATCGACCTAAGTTTGAGCAAGTTGACTATTCCTTCTTCTCCATGAGCTCTTAGCCCACCCAAAATTTATATCTTGTGGTCTGCTCATAAGAAACAATTATGTGGAACAGTTGTGGACAAAGCTCTTCATTCTTTGCTAAGGTCATCTTCATTCTGCCATTTCTTTTTCAGAAATACCTTTTACAATCTTTATTGTTATTGTTAACTTGTAGGACTACTGATTTGGATTCTGGGAGTATAGATAACTCGATATAGAATCATATTATTCACAGAGGCTTTCATTAAATCAGTAGAATTAACATTAGCCCCCACTGATTCCCTACACTTGCCTTCTGCACAAAACTAATTTTATTGGACAAGTGGACTTGATATGCATAGAGAGTAAAGATACTGTATAAGAAAAAAAATCATACTTGATGTAAGGGAAAATCTGTACTCTTGATTGAAAGTGATGGTAATAACATGTGTTTATTATTCATTAGTGGCATTCAACATACAGTCTAGGCTTCAGCCTCTTTGCTGTGTATCATTTGATATTTATTGTAGCCAAGACAGTAATTTAATATTTTGTTAAATGAATTAAATAATAAACACTTAAATTAATGTATTCCCTGCTCCCAACGCTTCTCAAATGCTAGCTTGTTGGTGGGCCTGTTTCCATTCATAGTTTTTTGGCTTCTTGCTCTTTAAGCTTTGTACAACTTGACTGTGATCTACTATGAGCCAAAAGCTGGGTCAGTAGTGCATGTTCATTTTTGAAGATGATTAAAAGGTGATATACTGCTGATATACTATGAGTCATATCTCTAAAACACAAAGAATCAGAAGCGGCTTTTTTTCTAAATGTTATTACAACAGTTAGGGAAGAAGCATACACTATTTGTAATAAGATATTTTCCCCTCTGTACTTTTTATTCAAAAATAGAAAGTTACATATTACACAGTAGGTAATTGAAAATTGCTTCAAATAATTCTTTTTAGGTATTTCCATCAATACGGAATTAAGTCATTAAGTAAGTATTGTGTGATAATTAAATCATCTTCCCATTGCTTAATCTCCTTTTACCTTGTTGATAGATAGATAGATAGATAGATAGATAGATAGATAGATAGATAGATAGATAGATAGATAGATAGATAGATAGATAGATAGATAGATAGATAGATAGATAGACGGACGGACGGACGGACGGACGGACGGACGGACGGACGGACGGACGAACAGACAGACAGAGATTTACTTGAACATAATGTTATGAGAGTTTTCTTTCTTTCTGTAAAGCCAGTCCCAGCTAGTATTGATTAGAATGGGAGAGATCAAACCCCCAAAACCCTGTTTCTGGTGTGTGTCAAAGCTTGACACTTTCACCCCTCCTGTTTAACATCTACATGAGGTCATTGAGGAAAGGCATCTATCCATTTGGAAGATCATACATCAATTCAGTATGCTGAGGATAATCAGATGAACATTTTAACTCGTTACCAATCAAACAATCCTGTCAAAATTTTGCCATAGAGTTTGTAGCCTTTTGGGAGGAAGCAGATGGGGGCCTGAATGGGGAAGAAAAATCTCAAGGTCAGCCTAACAAGACCAGGTAACTTTCAGTTTTTTGTCCTCCTGGTTCTGGAGATTTCCCACTTTTAATTCTGAGTAGGGATGCTCTGCCTGCTCAGAACCTATGCACAATTCGGAGGATCTTCCTAAACTCCATGCTCCTGCTTGAGAAGCAGGTGTCAGTTGTGGTTAAGAAGGACTTTGCACAGGTTCAGTTTATTTTCCAGTTATGTCCATTCCTGGTTAGAAAGGTGCCCCTCACGGTTGCTTATGCTTTAATTACCTACAGTTGGATTTCTACAACCTGCTCTACATGAGGATTCCCTTGAAGAATATCTAGAATATGCAGCTTGTACAGAATACAGTAGCATAAGAAGTGATGGACAAGCATTCTTGTAGCCATGTAGCAACCCTACAGCATGAGCTACACTGGTTTTTACTTGGCTTCCAGATACTGGTTATGATATATAAAGCTCTCCATAGTGTAGGGCCTAATAACTTGAAGGACCGATTGTCTCCCATGGTATCTATTCATTATATTTATTCTGTCAGTATTATCCTGATCTGGGTCCATTGATTAAACGGGGCCATCTTCTAGGACCCCAGAGTGGGCCATCTCTGTCACTGCACTTGTTTTTTGAAGAATATTGCACTGGAAATCCACATGGCCCCTACCTTGTCTTGCGGTATATCCAGTCTAGTGATTCAGGCAGATTATTTTTACTGGTGGCTGCTGTGGAGGTATGGTATATATGTGTGTGTGTTGGTGGCTTCCTTCCATATGGCAGTTAAAATTTATGCTCTCTTGTATTTTATTTTATTTTTTACATTTTACTGTGTTTTTAGTCTGTGGAGCCATCCAGAATCATCTGGCAGTTGGCAGCATAGAAATATGACTAATAAATAATAAAGTTGTATTTGTTCCATAAACCCTCTTGGGCTTCATGTTTTGTACAAATTTTATGCAACATCATTTTCAAAAAAACAATTAATCTTTATTTTCCAGAGTTCAATGTTTAAATTCTGTTATAGTGAATCAACAATTAAAATTTGAAAGTAAACTTTCATATTTTTGTGTAACTTGGTAACTTGCTTTTAGATTAATTTCTTTTCCACTAATTCTGTCTCATTTTATTTTATGCACTCTATGTTGTTGTTGTTCAGTTGCTAAGTTGTGTCTGACTCTTCCTAACCCCTGTGGATCATAGCATGCCAAGCTCACCTGTCCTTTTTTGTCTCCCAGAGTTTGTCCAAAATCATGTTCATTGCATTGAGGACATTATCTAACCATTTCATCCTCTGCTGTCCCCTTCTCCTTTTGCCTTCAGTCTTTCCCATCATCAGAGTCTTTTCCAACAAGTCCTCTCTTCTCATTTGATGGCCAAAGTATTTAAGCTTCAGCTTCAGTCATCCGTTCTTTCAAAGAACAGTCAGGGTTGATTTCCTTTAGGATTGACTGAATTGATCTCCTTGCAGTCCAAAGGACTCTCAAGAGTCTTCTCCAGCACCACATTTCAAAACCATCAGTTCTCCAGCACTCAGCCTTTCTTATGATCCAACTCTCAAAGTCATACCCACATACCCACAGAGAGACACTAACATAAATTGCAAGGGTTTTGCATGACCATGATTTCGGTCTAACAGCTTTAAATCAAGAATATGATTCCACATTTTAAGATAATTTAATTCATTTGTTGAGAGTATAAAGATATCTCCAGATGCAAGCACATATGGTCATGGAGGGGCCAACTAACTTGCAGATCTGTAAAGCTGTAAGAACCCTGCATATACAATATTAGTGAACAAATAGTTGGTATAAACATTGGATTTTTAGTGGGATCCTATTTCCCTTGTTAATTCAGTGAATCATGGAAAGAAAGTATTATACAAATCACTATATTATCATTCCACATTTAAAACATCCTCGCTTTTTTCCAAGACTATAGGTCTAAAATTTTTCATGTAACAACAACAATTTTTCAAAATAACAACAACAACAAACAAGACAGTCTTCCATATGCCAGAATCAAATAGCCTTGTTGGAATAAGTATTCATTTGAATTATACTATCAAAATAAGAGTTGGTTGTCTTAAACACAAATAATTAGCATATCAAAAATGAATTAAGCAATGAGGATGATGACAGTTCTGAGTGCAGCAATTCTCAAATAATTGTATGTTATACATTTCAATGAAATTAATTATTGCCTGTAACGAGAAAGATCTAATTGTGTTGGTGTTAATTAGAGCTATTTGTGCTGATATCATGGATCCTGAATCTCCTGGTTTCCGATGTGTTACTGTTCGGTCTCCACATTCCATCTGCTCTCAGTATTTATTTTTGAATTACTATTGCCATTAAAGTAACATTAATTGTGAATACTGTTTTCTTAACATATGTGTAGCGATAATGAAACAATTTATGAGGGTGCAAATATATATACTTTCTAAGGTTTTAAAATAATTGAAATATAGCTATGAGGAATCTTTTCTTACCAGAAGCAGGGAAAGTGATTAAGACTTTTGTTGCTGTTCTATTCCACTGATTAAATTTGCCCCACTTATAAAGCTGTTTGCTCAGTAATGTGCAAATTTTCATTGCTTAAGAAAATAACAACCTGTAGAAGTCAATTCTGATTGAAGAAATAGGACCATGGAAAATAAGCAGTTCATCTCTTTGCCATTGTTCTGAACAATAATGTGAGATAGCAAACAATTGCTTGTATGGCAAGCAGTGAACAAAGTGGTTTGCTTAGTTGTGGCTTATTCAGTAAACCTAGGATCACAGAAAACACAGGACATAATCTATAGATTGAAAGATGCAATAACTGGATTCACATAGTACAATAAAACAAAGCTAAGAATAATATTAGCATTAATGTATGAATCTTGGCCAATGAATTAAATTATAGTTCATCTACTGGTAAATAGCGAATCGTCAATGCAATTATTTTATTTTTCCTGAACTGTTTCTAAAATTCTCTCTAAGCCTAGTTTATTAATTGAAATAGGTGTATAGTCTGGACTGGAGATGATCGAGTCTTCTTCTTCAACCCTACAATGCAATTGTCAGTATGGGAAAAACCAGTGGATCTAAAGAACCGCGGTGATATTAACCGGATCATTGAAGACCCACCTCATAAACGCAAACTGGAAACTTCAGCAAGTAACTAATGCTGTGATTATTTTGTCTATTTAAACTTAAAGAGTATCTGAAAATGCCGGTCATTACATTTACGGGTTAAAATGTTGAATGTTTATTTCGTATTAGTCTTAATTGTGATTATTAGACGCTCTTTCTCAAAGTTTTGATTTCAGCAAAAGATCCTGTTCATTATCTCTAAAGCAGGGGTGGAAAATGATGGCTCTTTTATGACTTGTGGACTTCAACTCCCAGAATTCCTGAGCCAGCCATGCTGGCTCAGGAATTCTGAGAGTTGAAGTCCACAAATCATAAAAGGGCCATGCTGGCTCAGGAATTCTGGGAGTTAAAGTCCACAAGTCATAAAAGGGCCATGCTGGCTCAGGAATTCTGGGAGTTGAAGTCCACAAGTCACAAAAGGACCATTGTTTCCCACCTCTGCTTTAAAGATATGACACTAATGATTTGGGATCAGGTTATCTGATAGATACCATAGTTTCGTATGAACTAACTTTGCTATTGTTAGTATCTTATTCATTTCTACACCAGCAAATATACAAGTGATAGGATAAGAGATCTAATCCTCTTACTGAAATTACACCTGTTCTTGAATTCTTTCTTTCTCTCAATAAAATAGTTCCTTCCTTTAGAATGAGGTGGGTAGTTAAGATGTTTTTTACTCCACTTTATCCCTCCAGAATGTTTCTCTTATTCTGAAAGTAATTTATTTTTATGTAAAGTTGCCTACATTAGCAGACTAGATAAGATAAGATAAGATAAGATAAGATAAGATAAGATAAGATAAGATAAGACAAGACAAGACAAGACAAGACAAGATAAGATAAGATAAGATAAGATAAGATAAGATAAGATAAGATAAGATAAGATAAGATAAGATAAGATAAGATAAGATAAGATAAGATAACCTTTATTGTCATTTTTATACTGTGGGCACAATGGCACACATCAAAAATGAAATTTAGTTGCCCGCTTTCAAAGTAAAACACATACATGATACACACCTAAAACTACAAACAAAACTATAAACAAATCTAACTGTAAAATGTGTGAGTGGAGGCATATCCATGACTTTATATTTCAGAGATAGAAAACCTTTGATCTCTTAAGGGCCATATCAAGTATTTGTTTTATAGGCTGAACACCACACTATAAAAGAACAACTTCCACTAGCCAGTTCTTGGAGAATTTTTTTTTTTAAAAAAAGCATTATAATGCTGCCTTGGATCTTTGGAAGGCTCCATTTATCTCCTTGAAAACCTGTCTAAACTTCCAAAGACTGGAAAGAGAAGGTTTTGGACTGTGCCCACTTTGATAGTTACATGTGATCCCTGATTCTTTGTAGTCCTTGTATTCTCTGTGTTCAAGTATTATATTACTTCTAGCACTTATCTGAATGTATGTCTGATACTAAAGATGTTTACATGGAAATAAGTTCCCATTCAAAAGGAGAAGTGCCAAAGTGTGCAAATTGTTAGCTGAAATGTGCCTTATTTGTTAGCTGTAGCTTTTTCTACATTCGTATTTCACTTGTTTATATTAGAAAAGCCTGTGCATAACTTGTTTCATCCAAATGCGATATTGACCATTCTGCCCAGGAGATCTGTCTTGCAATAAACTATTATTTAACCCAGCTGTAGAAAGCAAATCTCAAAGATCCATCTCACTGGATTGATGGACGATTTGGCAGAAATGTAGGTACTTGCATTCAAATAGGGTGTTGTTAGTCAATCTTCTCCCACCAGAGACTTCTTAAATACATCTTTTTGCTTTAAAAAGAGTTCTGGCTGTCATGCTGACATGTATTACAAAATCTGAGTATATGGAGGAAATCAGCAGGGATGAACAAACCTGCAGTACTTGTTTATCTTCACTGAGGAAGGAAGTATCCTTCAACTTAGCTATTGTGACTTTCTACATGTGCAACAGTACCCCTGGCCCTAAACATAGTGTTCTCACCCAGATGGTCAAGGGAAGCCAGGCCTCTAGGGAGTCCTTTATTGCTCTCAATAAATGTTTCAGCAAATGACCAGTACTGCTACCCCATGCTACCCTGAAGGCAGCTACCCTCAGTCCCCCACACCACAGCCCATATATTACCAGGGAAGTCCACAAGGAAAAGTCCAGACATAAGACAAATGGCAGTCCTCACGGCAACAACAAGGTACAAGGCAAAGGCAGTTCTGAAGGTAAAGCAAAGCAAAGGGCAAAAGCAGTCCACAAGACAAGGGAAAGATAAAGCACAGTCCTCAAAGCAAAAGGCAACAAGCAGTCGTTGAAGCAAGACAAAAAGGCATGAGTCAAAGCCAGGGGAGTGTAATCCAAAACAAACAATTGTTCACCTTAAGTCACTCTACTGCAGGTGTTCCTTGTGAAGAGTGGCGGGGCAACCTTCTGCCAAGTAGCTTTGCAGCCCTTCTCTGAGCTTGCTTATGCTATGGTCTCTGTGCCCTTGGATGGAGTGTTGCCTGTGTCTAAGAAGGCAGGCAGCTCTCCGTCTGGTCAACCACTTCCCCCAATGCCTGAGGGGCCTGGGACAGCATTGTCCTCAGCCTATGGCCTCTCCAAACATGCCAAGGGACATGTGCCATCCCTGTCGGATGGTCCCGGTTCTAACTCCTCCTCATCCTCTGAACCGGACTTCAATGGGGCCATGACACATGGTCATATCATCATCGTCATAATCATCATCATCATCATCATCATCATCATCATCATCATCACACTTTTTTTGCAGGTGCAAGGTCTGCTTTTTTGGATCAACAAGTGCCATTTTGTGCCATCAAGCACACTATCCGGATCTAACTGAGCTTTTTTCATGTCCACATTTATTATATCTTGCATCTTTGCTTCAGCCTTCCATGTGGGCGCATGCCATTTATATTAAAATGGAAGGCTATATAGACAACAGTGTAGGGTGCTGCTGGTCGTACATGACCATACCACTATAGCCATTTCTCCTGCATTTTCTCTGATATTGCCAGGGCACCCATTTGCCTGGCTCTAAGCATGGTATAGTAATATATGTGGAGGTTCCTCCACAGAAAGTCCAGCACCAACTAAAAAATTCCTTCCTCTTCCAGGGATGTATTTACTAAACTCCATCTCTCCATCATATGCACAGGCCCTTGAAGGTGACAAGTCACAAAAAATCAGATACAGGGCTTTTGAAGACAGCTGTATCACAACACGAGTTTCATTTTAAATACTGGGGAGAATGTTTTTGCACATTTTAATCTGAAATTTCACGAGCCATATTTGTTCTAATTGAGGGTTGGAAGGCAAGAGAGAAAATTCCATTCCTTAGGAATGACATTGAAGTCAGGAATGGCATGCATCTGCTGAGAGTTTATGGTGGACAAAACAAGGTGGAATTTATGGCTACAGTTAGTTCTCGACTTATGACCACAATTGGACTGGAATTTTCAGCTGCTATGTGATGCAGTTATTAAGTAAGTCATGACATTACTGGATCTGATTTTATGTCCATTTTTATTGTGAAATTACACAGTTGTTCAGTGAATCTGGCTTGCATCGTTGATTTCATTTGCCGAGCCCCCAAATCCCAAATAGGTCTGAGATGCAACAGTGGTAACTTCGAAGACATGTTGTAAGTCACTTTTTTTTAGAGATCATTTTATCTTTAACCTGTCATTAAACAAATAATCATAAGTCAAGGACTATCTGTACTGCTTTGCGCAATGTATGGCCGAGAAATTTTTGGGCTGTGTTTTTGTGCCTGAAATAAATAGGGAGTTACCAAATAACCGATAAACTGATTATATGCCATCACATAAGTGTTGATTCTTAGCAACCACATGGCTAGTTGAAAAATAATACTGCACTGAAATTTACTGTCTAGGTTCCAATTGATTCTTCCCCAGATGAAAGAACCTTTTGCTCATTTGTTTGCTTGTTTGATTTTTCTCATTCACCGAGTGCTTTAAAAGTTCCTTAGGAATTTATTTGGATCGATTTTTTAAAGTTTATTTCTTCATTTAAAGATAGCAGAAGGTGCTGTTCTTTTGGTTTCTTTCCTTCCCTGTCACACCCCTTTCCCTAGTTGTATCAGCATTTCTGAATACCACTCTCTAAGTAGTAGCTTATAGCTACATTTCTCTAAGTATGCAAATAGTTTTTAATAATTTTTAATTCATTGCATAAGTACTCTAAGTAAGCCATGTTAAAATTCTTGCTATTGAGGCATATGTTGATTTTGTGCAAAGTTGATATTAATATTATTTTAAACTTTCATTATGCTTATTAAATGAAGGGGGAACTAAATTTGACAAAGCATAATTATTTTTTAAAAAATATTATACCTCTTCCATGGCATATATGCTTAAAACTCAGGAATGAATAGAAAATGAAAAACTGCTTCACAATGATATGAGAATTCATGTTCATTGATATTCACAAAGGTGTTGTTAATTTCATTTAGTGGAAACTCATTGTGTTTTCTCGATAATTGATTCCACTACTTCTGAATGAAGGATTTAAGGTAGGTAAGGAGTAGGTTAGTCTTGCGATAGAATATTCCCTTCCTTATAACTCCATTCCATATCACTCTCCCTTCTCCATGTTTTCCCCTTTCTTCCAACAGTTAGCAATTCTAGGTCTATTGACTATGCATGACATTCTTTGATGTGTTTTGGGTTCATCTACAGACAGTTGAATTCTGCTGCTACTTTACTCCTGTGTGTGGATTGTGCTGTCACATTAGGCAGACATTTTTTTTCTCACAGTTGTGAAAGAGTTTAAAAAGAAAGCAGGAGAAAAATGTTGAGGAGGCAAACTGCATGCTGAATACTTAGGAATGATGGTCTACTTTAAAGAAATAGATGACAATTTTGATCTACTTTTCAAAGAGGGCTTTGAATAACAGGAGTTTTAGAGCTTAAGGAAGTTTTGAACTTCAGTCAGAATCGGTAAAAGCAGGTCTTTGTCTTGTTCTGTTTTTGTAGCCTGTCTTTTAAGAGGTCCTCCTTGAGGAATCAGTCTGGAAT